TCCTGCTAACCACAAGATGGCTGCTGTGCCGCATCAACTGATGGTCAACTCTGCTTGCCAGAACTGCCTTCCGGAGACTGTATTCCATGGAGACTCACCTACAGTTGCGGAACTGCACGAGACCCACACTTGATCCAACCTTGAATGGAATCTATTTTCCCTATTGTTAAAAACTTTGGACTCCTGGCCCCTCTCCCTCTACTCGCAGGTATCGCATTTTCAATGACCCCTCTGGAGGATAGCTGTCCATAGAAGAGATAGAGTAATTGGGAGAGGGGGAAAGGGCTGAGGGTCAAACATAGGATAAAAAACATATTTATATGTATGAAAGTAGAAATGGAACAGTATTGGTGACGACATGCTTGATTGAGACACTATGCAGTTTATCCTAGATGGGAAACTACACTTGGTGTGTTGTGATGATACTCAGGGAATGAGTGTTAGGCAATATAATTTAATATAAAAAAAAATAATAATAAGAAGGAGGAAAAAAAATGCACATTTGATGACTGAAGAGAGGTGTATGGACACAACTGGGGACTACTTTATAGTATGTTCATTCTACTCCCTGGGGTTTATGCCTAGGATCAGATTTGGATACATGTGTAAGGATATGTCAGCTGTGCTAGCTAGTGGATATATTTAGACAAATTGAGTTCATTGGTAGAACAATTGAATGGGGGGGGGCGGAAGGCATTGAGGGCAATCATGAATGTTAGGGACAATGGAGGAGGATGACGGGACATGGCAGAGGGTGGGGAGGGGGAATCTAGGATGGCAAAACAAAAGGCAAGGTATGCAGGACACAAAAATTGGGAAATCATTTGCTGAGAACATATATGTTGATGTGCTTGATTGAGCCAATGCACAGTGTATTTTGGATGGAAAATTCATATGTGTGTTGTGATGAGAAAAAAAAATTTATAATAAAAAACAAAGTATAAAAAAAAAAGGAGAGAGAAGAGGATAAAGACAGCAGTGAACAATAGAGAGGCAGGATGTTAATGAGAAATAGATATGGTTTATTACCTGTTGATGATGACATGTATAGTATTCTCAACTGAACCGGTCTGGAAAGTATTTCATGATGGGTGAAGTCTTTTTAATAAGCAAAAATGAGAAATAGTGATTGATTGTTTAAAAAAAATAATAATAACAATTATTGGGAAAAGCATGGAAAAGATATTGAATGATAAAGCGGGGAGATTGATATCTCTGTATTGACTGACATGCATGGCATCCCATTTTGAAAAAGCAATGGAAGTCAATGTAAAGTTATATGTAATCTAGTGTAATAGAAAGAAGATTATGATGATAATAAAATAAAAAAAAAAAATGGGAAAATTATGTGCAATGATGCAGTAGGAGGAAAATATTAATAAGAGCACCCAGTAATTGAGGAATGGGTACTACAGCAGTTCCTGAGCTACACAGTCACAACAAAGCTCCTCATCTCTTTCCTCCAAACCCCCTACATGTTGAATACATGCATAGAAGGACCAGCAGATGGCGTAATGGCTATGTTGCTGGACTCCCATGCAGTCGACTATAGTTCGAGTTCCAGACCAGGTGGCTTAAACTCAGGCCAGGTGCGCGTGCGTGTGTGCCTGAGAGGAGAATGGAGGAGAAGGGATTGTGGCATGGTCATCCCTCATGGGAGGTGATCTCTCACTTTCCATCTCTCTGTCTCTCTGGCGAGCACACGTACTCTATAAAAAAAAAAAAAACCTCTCCAAAGAGAAAGAAAAAGAAAAAGAAATACATATGTAGAAACTCAGTGATAACATAATGAGAAAACTCAAATTTCAAAATAATCTGGAACCTTTAAAATGAAACTTGAGGGAAAAAATCACTAGTAATCCAGATTGAAAACTAGAAGAGATGCTATGCAAGGTGACTTTGGACCAAAGATCTAGTCTTTTCCAAGAAATGGTGTTATCTAGAAATAAAGCTTTTCTAGAACAATTTTGATTTAAAGTATCTGTTCATTAACTTTCCATAATGCTGGATCTCCAGTATACAAAGTCTTTAAATCTCACTTACCAGCTGTAAAGGCTTTACCACCAGATTAGGCTTCTTGTAAACCTTCTGTTCTGGCTCTCTATGGTTTTTCAAAGGAAAATCCCATGTAGTTTCCTTGACAGCGGCAGTAGATAGTGAATTTCTAGGAGGACTGGAGATACAAGCTTTGGCTTCTATCTTCTTAGCTGATTGAACTAAACATGAATTTGTGATTGATAAAACAGTTCTACCTGAAATGGCCAATACAGCAGCCTCTGCATATTAAACCAATAATCATGCAACTAACTGTTACTAAGCACCTTCTATGCACCAGGCACTGGGCAAAGAGCTAAACAAGAGAAACAAGCCTGTCCTTGCAGACCTTTCAGTGTGGAGAGATGGAAAGTGAAGTTCTACAATAGATGGAAACAAATCCTCAATTATTTGAGCACGTGATCTGGTAAGGATTCTTAAACTTTGGTGAAAGGTTTTATTTTTCAACATCCTACTTTCAGTTTATTTTTTATTTAAATTAATTAATAAACGCTTTTGGTTCTGAATGTACAATGTAGATGACTACTTAATATTTCATATACGATAACTTACGTCTTTTTTTTACCTTGGCTAGAGGACATGTGTGTTCACCAGAGAACGAGAGAAAGGAGAAAGCACTCCCCAGTGGGACACGGTCATGCCACAACCCCTTCTCCTCCATCTCTCCCTCCTTTCAGGATTCTGGACATGCACATGCATGTGCCCAGTGCTTCTCAAGCTGTTAGGTCTAGTGCTTAAACTGTAGGCTAGGGATCTAGCTGCCTTGACCACCTCAAAATAATGCCTCAAAATAACCTGGAAACTCGAATATTAAACTTAAGGAAACCACCTTAACCACTAGGCTATGGAGTTGGTGGGATACCTTAATTCTTAGGGAATTTTCAAATCAATCACATACTTTGTTCAAATCCACACATACATAATGACAACGAGAGGTCAGCACATTAAAAGAGACCCAAGGTAAGTATACAGTGGTTCCTAAAGAAATACACTCATACACAAACATGTCGGTACCAAAAGATTTATCACTATTTTTATAACAGTGAAAAATGGAAATAATCTAAATGTACATCAGTAGGGGACTGATTAAATGAATTATAATATAGTTACATAAAAGCATTATATGAGCTAAAAATGAAATAAATGTTGTTTATACATACTAATATGGAAAATCATCTACAATACATTAAGCATGAAAAGCAGCAATGGCCCCAGCCCAGGTGGCACAATGGAGAGGATCCTCCTGTGGCGGCTGAGGCTACCCAGGAGGTCTGGTCCAACATGAACCAGTTGGGCACAGTGGTGTGTGTTGTCCTAGCAACAGAGAGTCTGGAAAGCCAAAATCATGACATGGCTAGACCCTGGACTTGGCAGCTTGCTTTCTCACTTTCCTTTTTCCCCTTTCTGTCTCTCTCTGGTCAAATTAAAAAATAAAAATAACAAATAAAATTAAATAAATAAATATTTAAGGAAAACCAAAACCCTACCTTTCTCTCTTTTTCCCTCCCACGTTCTCTCTCCACCTCTTGTACTTATTTTCTCTATAAAAACAAACAAACAAACAAAAAACAAGGACTTACATGATATTTACAAAATACTGTTTGGTGTAAGAAAAAGTATATATGTAATAACTAACTATACTATATAAAAGAGGTCAGAAACACACACACTGAAACTATCAATCCAGTTACCTTCGCATTTTTGAAATTATTTAAAAGTGTATGCTGCTTTTGTCATTAAAAAAAATCTAGCTGTGCTAACCATGTACACTGAAAGAGGCCTAGAAGGCTATATAAAAATCTTAAAACCTGGGACCAGCAGTTAGCATAATGGCTATGTCGCTGGACTCCCACGGAGTCAACCGCGGTTCGAGTCCCGGACCCGGCAGCTTAAACTCACGCCAGGTGTGTGTGCGTGCATGCCCAAGATCCCGAGAGGCAAAGGGAGAAGGGATTGCGGTGTGGCCATCCCCCCTGGGGGGTGATTTCTTGCTTTCTGTCTCTCTGTCTCTCTCTGTCTTTCTGGCGAGCATACGTGCCCTATAGCAAAAACCTCTCCAAAAAAAGAAAGAAAAAAAAAAAAGAATCCTAAAATCATTATTTTGAGGGAGGATAAGGAATGTTTACTTTCTATTTTCTACTTCTCTGTCCTGTTTGGATATTTTTAGAATGAACATGAATTACTTTAATAATCAGAAAAATCAATTAAGGTATTTATAATTTGGGAAAAAACAGATGTCCAGCATAATCGCTTATAGAAGCTTATAAAAATACAAGAATCATGTTATACTATAGTTTCACAAGATGTTACCATTGGGGGAAACTGAGCGTAGGGTGCACAGCACTTCTCTGTATTATTTTTCATATTGGTATATAAAGCTATCGTTATCTTAACAATTTCAAAGGAAAAAATGCAAGTGCCCTAAATGCAATGTAGTATCCTGGAGTAGATATAAAAACAGAAAAAAAGATGTTCTTAGGAAAGACTGGTAAAGTCAGAATGAAATCTGGAGCTTAGTTAATAGTAATGTAACAAAGTTAATTTCTTAGTTTTGACAAATGTATCATGGTGATGTCAGACATTGTTAGTATCAAGGAAAACTGGATGAAGGGTATGTGAGAACTGTGCACTACGACTTTTCTTTATAACTTGCAACTCTGATGTAAACTTAAAATTTTTCCCCAAATAAAAAGTTTATTTAAAAAATTAGAAGTGCTGGTTCCCAGTACATAGTTATTCTGAATCTATTTCTAAAATGTTATTCAGAATCTCCATTTCTGTCTTTTTAAAGGTGTTTGATGCACAGAGTTGAGAACTACTGAACTATCAGACCACCATTTCAGAAAGTCAATTTCCTTCAGAATTATCCAAAAGTATGGCCTCTGAAGAAAACAGATTTAGAAATTTAGGGTTTTTTTTTCTTTTTTTTTTAAAAGACAGTCTCACTATGATGCCCAAGTTGGCCTCAAACTATAGATCCTCCTGACTCAGTTTCCCGGTAGCTGGGACTACACATGCATGTCACCATACCTGGTTTGGTTTTTATCAATAAATGATACGGGTTAACCCTATTACAACAAATACCACCAGAATGGAGGTCAGGGTACACAAATTATTTCATGGCTAAGATGTGATCTGTTTAGTTGGCATGGTTATAACACTCTTACATAAGTAATGCTTTCTTTTTCCCTGTCCTTACAAACACAATTAAAATTGAGGTTGGTATCAAACTGTGGTTCAACTCACCAGATAGAACAGATCTCGTATCGGCATCAAACACTAGTAAGTCTTGTTCTCCTTCCCGGAACTCAACATGGAGAATGTCACTAAGAGCTCCAACAAGTTCTATCACATTTAAAAAGCCCAATTTTTTTGGTGAAAGTTGCTCTTTAAAAGTTACCTGTCATAAAAAAATAGAAACAACATGAAACAACGTTAGATAAGAGAAATATGACGTATGCAGATTCTCTTAGGCAATGCTTTAATTTGGACTTAGCCAAACTAAATGTTTAGGGCTCAATGAATGCAAGTATTACAGGAAAGGCTTGCTTCCACACAACACAAACCAAGAGACCAACTATCCCTCACCATGAAACTTCTAAACCAATGTTAACTTCCTTTTAGACCACGCGGAAAGCCAAAGTGAACATTTGGGGGCTTTTTTAGTCTCATTTTTTCTTTTCATTTTATTTTGAAATAATTATTTTATTTAACTTTATTTATTTGTTTTTAATTTGACCAGAGAAGGACAGAGTGACAGAGAATGCGAGGGAAAGTGAGAAAAACAAGCTGCCAGGTCTAGGACTCAAACCACGGTTGGCCATGTGTGGGGGTGAGGGGGTCCAGCGCCCTTAACCACCACTCCATCTACCAGCCCCTTTTAGCTCTCATTTTTAACGATATCTGATTGTAAAGCAAAAGTCTACAGTACAGAAAAAAAGGGGAATGCATCAAATTACAATAAAATTATTGATATTTACCTATTTTCAGAGAGAGCCTATTCACTACCACTTTCAATATGCAGAAGGGATTACTGTTTAAAATGTTTCCTTCTATTTTGTTTTTGATTTCATTACTTCACCTAGAAGTTGGAATAAATAAGCAGGAATCTGTCCATGTATATCCTATAGTATATGGTTTGATTTTCTTGCCTTAGAAAAGGAGAAAAGTCACACCAAATAAAGATATTTAAATTGTTTTGGTGTAAACTGCACTGTGAACTGGTAAATTTGCCCTTGCCAGGAAGATCTACCATTAAATTGTTCAAATGCTCAACAATTAAGCTTTCATCTCCTGAAGCAAGCTAGAGCAGTAGAGCTAAGAATTAATGCTCTCTTCCTCTGACCAGGTTTTAATAGGAAATAAAGCCTTGCTTCTGACTTAATCACCCTGGGAAAGACCAACAGGAACACAGAAGGCATATACTGTACAAGGACTGACCCCTGACAAGGGTGGCACTGCTGCAGTGTATACCTGCTTGTCACATGATGCTCCCAGGCCCAACTCAACTCTTTACAACTTCACCCATAACAGAACACTGAAAAAGTAGGGAGCACTAATGAAATCATGGTTCAAAAAGGTCAATAATATCAAATGTATAGGCACTCGTAAGTAACCCAAGAGAGAAGAAATTGAAAAGGACAGAGTTGGGTTGGTGGTAAATCATAATATCTCTACTTGCTTCTTTGTATGTTACAAAAAAAGCTTCTTTTGCTTTTTTTTTTTGTTTTCTCTTTTAAGTTTCTTCCTTTTTTTTTCTTCATGAAAGAAAGGAATCCTTGATAGGGCCTCACCACACCATGATTCTCCTCTCCCAGCCTTCTAACCAGACAGGATCACAGGCACATATGGGCACATCTGGAGTGTTCAGGTTAACCAGAGCATCCAAACTAGGCCTCCCGTGTGGCTTCAGCATCACAGAACTATACATGCAGTGGGTAAAAGTGTGACGGGGCCTCTTTTCCTCTTATGTTCATTAGTCTCTTTAATGGTTTCCTTCACTTCACTAGCTAGGTAGATGTCTACCTCATGTGATTATGTGATGGAACTGAACACAGGAGTAGGTTGAGAAGGATTAAGAGATTTTTTTTTTTTTTTTTGCCATAGGGTATGTGTGTTCTTCAGAGAGATAGAGAGACAGAAAGTGAGAAATCACCCCCCGGGAGGATATGGCCATGCAATAATCCCTTCTCCTGCATTATCCTCTTGGGATTTGGGCATGCACACACAAGTGCCCAGCGTGAGTTTTAAGTTGCCAGGTCCAAGATTCAAACCGCGGTCAACTCTGTGAAAGTCCAGCAATGTAACCGTTATGCAGTCTGCTGATCCCAAGAAGGATTTTAAAAAATATATAGGTTACTGAGACCAATAGATGGCATAGAGGTTATGCTGCTGGTCTCCCACATGGCCGACCATGGTTCAAGTCCCTGATCTAGTGGCTTGAAATTCACACCGGGCGCATGTGTGTCTGTACCCAAGATTCCAGAAGGAGAATGGAAGAAAAGGGATTGCATTATGGCCATCCCACTAGGGGTGACTTCTAACTTTCCCTCTCACTGTGTCTATCTTTCTCCAGTGAACACACACTTCCTAAGAGAAAAAAAAAAAAAACTTTTGGAAAAAATTATTCCAAAATGTTCAAGAAAGTATATAGCAAAAAATGAAATCTACAGCCTAATCCCATCCCACAGTCACTTCTCTGAACAAAATCATTATTGCTAGCTTCTTGTGCAACTTTCCAGAAATTATTAAAATTTGAATAAGCTTCAATATGGTATGATTACCTATACATATACATCTTTTTTCAGTTAATAGAGAATTCCACATCAGTACATGAAACACAGCTGAGTTTTGCTTTGTGATCCTGATAATGTTTAACAGGTGAATTGACTTAATTTGTTGATACGTCTGATATGTTTTGTCCTAACTCCTTTGTTAGATTTTCTGCTTTACTGATTCCCAGCCATTATCAATGAAAAATTGATGTCTTTCTATTCCTACTCTTTTTATTTCCTTTCCACCCTCAACACAATTTTAGTTATATTAATTTTTTCCTTAGTTTAGAGTTTAGATTTATGCCTTCAAATATGCATTAATATCTACAAATAGCCTATAGAAACTATGATGGGGAGTATATTGAATTTATAGATTAATAACAATATTGAGTTTTCACCCCTAAGTGTGAAATAGCTCTCCATTTAAGCATCTTCTTTTTAGAGAGGTTTTTTGTTTGTTTGTTTGTTTGTTTGTTTTGCTATAGGGTACGTATGTTCGTCAGAAAGACAGAGAGAGAGAAAGTGAGAAATCAACCCCCAGGGGGGATGGCCATGCCGCAATCCCTTCTCCATTCTCCTCTTGGGATCTTGGGCATGCACGCACAAGTGCCCGGCATGAGTTTAAGCCGCCAGGTCTGGGACTTGAACCGCGATAGGCTACATGGGAGTTCATCGACATAGCCATTATGCTAACTGCTGGTCCCAGCATCTTCTCTCAGCCAGATCTAGTAGCTATTAGTGTAAACATCTTGTTTTAATTTTAAATTAATTAATTAACTTATTGCTTTATTTTAAAAAGTATTTTGTTTAAAAACTAGCAGGGACCTTTTTAAAGAATTATTTTAATTTATTAGTATTATTTTTTAATTTGCTATGGGACATGCACACTCACCAGAGAGAGTTAGAGAGGGAAAGTGGGAAAGCAAGCCAGATGGTCGGCTATCTGGGAGTTCAGAGCCCCAACCACCACATTACTTGTTGGCCTGCTTTATTTATTTTAGAGTTTTTGGAAGGTCACATTTTGCTTTTTAATATATCTAGTAATTTTAGCTTGTATCCTTGGCATCACGATAGATATGCTGTTAGAGACAACTGCTATACTTTTTCAAAAAAAAAAAAAAAAAAAAACCTACTATTGCAAAAAAAAAAAAAAAAACCACGTATTGCTTTTTACTTTGTTTTAGCAAGGAATTAGTTCAGCTGAACTTAAACCTAAAATCGCCTACCATCTGGTACACAATAGCTGAAATGCCTTCAGTTCTTTCGGCCTTAATAGAACAGAGATTGTTCTGTGTCTGTCCCAAGCATGCACAGTTTCAAGGGTCAGCTATTTGAGCAGAGCTTACGTCCAGAATTTCCTGCTCCCCTTTCTACCTCTCTCCATCCTAAGACTATACTTATTTTTCACCTGCTTAGGTGTGGGAGGCTGCGCACCAGCGAGTCTGCCGAGGTTTCTCAGAGAGCAAACAGTTACCATGATTGGTTCCCTTCTAAAAACCTGACCTTCGAAATCTTGCTCTGATTGACTACTAGAATCCCTCAAATTTGCATATCCTGTACCTCATGATTGGTCCAAAAGTAACCAATCATAACCCACCGTTAACAACCAATCAGGGCCCACCGTTAACAACCAATCAGGGCCCACCGTTTACAACCCACCAGAGTGTATATAACCACGATGCCTGGCCCACAGTAGCCAGACG